CGGCCGGCTCTCCTCTCTCCCCAGCGAGTGGTTCTTCCTCCTGTCCCACGAGGTGCTGAACCCCATGTACTGCCTCTTCGAGTACGCCGGCAAGAACAACTACTGCCTGCAGATCAACCCCGCCTCCTCCATCAACCCCGACCACCTCACCTACTTCCGCTTCATCGGCCGCTTCATTGCCATGGTGAGCCTGCCCCGGGTGGCCCTCCCGCCCCGGAGCACCGAGGCCGCCCGGCCGGCCGGGATTGGTGTCCAGGCATCCGCCCCCCGCCTGGGGTGGTTTGGGGCCAAGGCGGCCCTCTGGGGCAACTTTTTCACATGCGGGCTTTTACTTCAGTTGGACCGAAAGGGCTGCCTGCCTTCGTAACCCGGGGGAGGGGGCCACCTTGGTCTGCGCTGGCCAGAAAGCAGGAGGGGTCAGCCGGCACCAAATCTGGCTGAAAGGCAGATGCTTTTGGGAGCTTGACCGATGCCTTTTAGTAACGTTTGCTAGTCAGAAACGGTGGCACCAGGCGCCCCGTTCTGAGCCAGCTAGATGTTTTCCGAGCCCTGGTGCTCTCCAACACCAAGTAGCCTGTTCCGCCATGGAATCTGCCTGGGGATCGAGGCTGCTGCCGTGTCCCTGGGCACAAATGCCCATCTGCGCCTGCCCCACCTCACCCCCACGCTCCCCTGATGCGCTGCTCCAGCCGGCTCTTCAGGCGCCCTGCAAGTGTGCCAGGACCGCGTCTCCCAGAATCCTCCGCTAGCGGAGCCTTTTGGTGGGACTGCCATGAGGCCCCTTCTGGGGCCAAGATGCCAGCTGGGCCCTTGGGGGGCAAGTCTCGGGATCTGGTGGGGGGCAGGGCTACGAGGCCTGGGCCCTTTGAAAAGGAGGGAACAGGAAAAGCGCATTCTGGAAAAGAAAACGGTGCATTTTGAAGGAATGAAAACATTTCCTTTTTTAAAAAAAGGATTTATTGTTCCACCTCTGCTTAAGGCTGCTTTGTTTCTTTTAGCTTAGAAATCGTGCATAAATTAGGCTGACCTAATCTGGTGACGCAAAGGGATGCAGGCAGGTGGCCTTTCTGCGCAGAAATGTGTTCCCAGAGAGTTCATTCACTTTCCAAATCCAGCATCGCCGCTTCTTAGCAAAAGGGGAGAGGGCAGCGCCCTGTTAGCCAGCCTCCCTGCGGCTGTGGCAAAGGGCTGCGAAGCCTCGGATGCCCCAGCCCCAGTGGCTGCCGAAGCTTTGGTCTGCCCCCCTCACCCCTCGGGGGCGGCTGCGGCAAACTCCCAGAGCACGCCAGAGCTGCCGGTACCCCTTGCCCGCGGCCTGGATTACGTCCGCGTGCCTTGGGTTGGGAGGGCGGCCTGTCCCCAAGTCCTTCCCTTCCCCCGGGCCCAGCTCTGACTCATCCCCAGCGTCTGCGTTTTTCTTGGCTCTGTGCACACAGGCCTGTGGCAGGCTGCTCTGTGGCGCTTGGGGGCGCGTGCTGGCTGCCTCGTACCCAAGAAAACAACACAGATGCGTTGGCATGGCCGCCAGGAGTTGATCCCAAGGCGAAGGCGGCGGCAGCAAATGCTTCTGTGTCGTGGCGAGGAGGACAATGTGGCGGTTCGCTGGAGTCCAGCTCAAGGGACGCTTGACCGCCATGCTAGGGTCCCAGGGGCCAGGCTCACACTTCTGGGGCATCTCCTTCCTTTGCAGGCACTCTACCACGGCAAGTTCATCGACACGGGCTTCACCCTGCCCTTCTACAAGCGGATGCTGAACAAGCGCCCCACCCTCAAGGACCTGGAGTCCATCGATCCCGAATTCTACAACTCCATCGTCTGGATCAAGTCAGTTCTCCTCACGAGGCCTGCCTGGCTGCAAAGCAGACGTGGGCCTCGGGGCAGAGAGGTCACTGCTGCCTCAGGCCTCCCCCAAGGGGTCATGCTAAGTGTTTGCAGGGGAGCAGAACAGTCCCGATGTTTTTGCTGTTCTGGAGGCAGAGAGATAAACTGGGGGGGGTGGAGGATTTCTAACTGCCAGTACCCTTACACGGTGGCTTCTCGTAGCTCAGCTTTGGGTGTCAGAGGGGCAGTTTAAAGGGAGACATGGCGAGTGGTCTTGGACAGGTCCACGACAGGAAGGAGAAGGCGCCCCCTCAGTTCTACTTGGGCATCCTCATCTCATGTGGCCGTGTGGCGTTGGAGAGGCTGGGGCCAGAAGGCACCCAGTGCCCCTGCCTGGGGGGCGATCCCAGTCTTCTTTCTCCGGCTTTTGCAGAGAGAACAGCCTCGAGGAGTGTGCCCTGGAACTCTACTTCATCCAGGATATGGAAATCTTGGGCAAGGTGACCACCCACGAGCTGAAGGAGGGCGGGGAGAACCTCCGAGTCACCGAGGAGAACAAGGAGGAATATATCATGTGAGCTGAGTCCTCAGGGCGGACGGGAACGCACCCAGGCTCCTTGGCTGCCGGCTCCTTTGTGGCCTCTTGGGAGGACAGTAGCCCACCTTGGCCTGCTGGCGGGTCTGAGGATGATTGGAACAATCACGGGAGCAAAGCAGTTGGGCCGCAGAGTTTTGCCTGGGGGCGCTGGGCAGTTCTCTTCTCCAGGGGACTACGGTGTCCTTGGCTGACAGAAGGAGCAGCTGGGCGGGGTGGCTGAGTGGTCTTCTCTCCTTGCAGGCTGCTGACCGACTGGCGGTTCACACGAGGAGTTGAGGAGCAGACCAAGGCCTTCCTGGATGGCTTCAACGAGGTGGCCCCTCTGGAGTGGCTGCGGTACTTCGACGAGAAGGAGCTGGAGGTGAGCTGGAGCCTCCCAGCCGCCATGTGGCAGGCGCTGGCCTGCGAGGAGCAGGGACCTCCAGTTCTTTTCTTAGGACAGCCACGCACTGTTCTCAGGTTGTTTCTCCTGTCCTGTCCCAGCCCTGAGAGCCAAATGCCCCATAGCCCCGCTTGACTCTTCCTGCTGCCTGGGACCGGGTGGTGCTGCTGGTATTCAGTCAGCGTTCATTTTGTTTTCTGTGTCTTCAAGTCAGAGTTGACTCCTGGCGACTGCCTGGACAAGTCCCTGCAGCTTTCTTGGCAAGATGTCAGAAGTGCTGTGCCCTTGCCTCCTTCCTAGGGCCGAGAGAGAGTGACTGGCCCAAGACCACCCAGCTGGCTTTGTGCCTCAAGCGGGACTAGAACTCAGGGTCTCCTGGTCTCTAGCCTGGGGCCTTCACTGCTACACCAAGCTGGCTCTCTGTGCAGTCAGTTAGATGAACTCAAGGGCATCCCGGGTTGATGAGAGGTTTGATTCTGGACCCTTCCTTCGAGGCACAGTCTTTCCTAATGCCAGGCTAGCAGGACCTGCCCTCCCAAGGCGTCTCCCCTGCTCCCGGCGCTGAGCCAGAGCCAGCGCATTGTCCAAGACCAAAGCGGGTCATCTTCCTTCAGCACCCTCATTTTATCCATATGCGAATCCACACATGCAGAAGCGTATTCGATTCATCGCCTCTGCTTTCATGCAGCGAGTCGTCCCGGCGTTCCTTTGGCAGCTAAGCTTGCCTGCTGAAGTGGTGGTGGGCAGCTGCCTGCCTCGGGTTTCCCTCCTGGAAGCCTCTTTGGGCAGGTGACTCAGCCCAGATCTCATCCTGCTTCTTCCCTAGCTGATGCTGTGCGGCATGCAGGAGATCGACCTGAGCGACTGGCAGAAGAACACCATCTACAGGCATTACACCAAGAGCAGCAAGCAGATCCAGTGGTTCTGGCAGGTGAGGCTCGGCGGCCAGGAGTGCCCTGCAGCCCCTGAGTGCTCGCCTCCTTCGGGCAAGTCCACAGCACAGTGGGGGGCTGACCCCAGGGATTGGCCAGGAGGTCAGGAGGCCTACCATCCCCTCTTGTGGCTGCAGGTGGTCAAGGAGATGGACAACGAGAAGAGAGTCCGGCTTCTGCAGTTTGTGACCGGGACATGCCGCCTGCCTGTGGGAGGATTCGCAGAGCTCATTGGTAAGGCCTGCCCCACCGGGAGTGGGGAGCAGGGCCCATTTGGGATGCCAGGCACCCGGCTCGCCAGCTCTGCGCAACGCATTTCCGCCGCTGCAGCCACAGCCACTTGCTTTCTTCCCAGCAAGGCTTCTCCTCAGCTGCTGCGGTTCCCAAGATGCTTTGGGACTGCTCCATACTGAGGGGGCCCTCTGTTCCTTCCCACCAGGCAGCAACGGACCCCAGAAGTTCTGCATCGATAAAGTGGGCAAGGAGACCTGGCTACCCCGCAGCCACACTTGGTGAGTCCGCGTGGGCAGGACCTGTGAGGTCCCCCAGCCCTGAAAGGGGGCAGAGCTGACCCTGCCAACCGACCCTTGCCTTTGCCTTCTCCAGCTTCAACCGCCTGGACCTGCCTCCCTACAAGAGTTACGAGCAGCTGAAGGAGAAGCTTCTTTATGCCGTCGAGGAGACAGAGGGCTTCGGGCAGGAGTGACGGGCATCTGGAAGGTGCCTGAGAAGAGCCATCCTGTGTGCCAGAAAGGGCAGAATCCCTGGGAGGGCATGGCGCCGGGGAGACCCTCTCGGGGACCAGTTGGGCCAGGTCTTGTAGAGGATGCATCCCCCTGCAAGGCCAGGGCGGGCTCCCAGACCCACCCTCCCTCCCACCCCACACCTGCTACATTCTGAGCTGTATTTCCCTGGGCATCTCAGCCTCCTTCCATGGGCACTTTGGGCCCTCTGCA